CTGTAGGGAAATTAGATAGTGAGAAACTCTAATGACTGTGGTGTAGTTGTAAGGATATATGGGAATTAGAGCGTGAATATGATACGGGATTGACCTAATAAGTCGTAGATTTTGTGTTGTTATCCCCGTAAGACCTTAGAGATGATTTAGGGATGTTTTAGGAGCATTGGGGAAGGATGTTTTAGGAGCATTGGGGAAGGAAATCGTGAGACCTTTGGGTTGATTTTAGGTTCTAGTGCGTAACAGCGTTTTGCTATAATTGCGTGTTTGCACAGCGAACAAACTCGTCCCAGACTCGCACTGCGAAGAATCCTTCACACAACAACAAACCTCGTCCCAGACTCGCACAACGAGCATGCTAGCGAACGTAGCAGAGTTTCGCGAATCCTGACCTTGTGCAGTGATGCCTTAATGTTTTGATGTTGTGATTTCTTTGACGAATTGATATGAGTATGACTGTGAATTCTATGTGATTTGTACATGATTATATGATGATTCCCATGATGTAATGATTGATGAACTATGATGATATTTCCATGAGTTTTGATGATTCTATGATGACATGATTTTCGATGATGATGATTATGATGAATGATGATGCACCTATGATGTTGTTATGAGGATGATTATTGACGTGTGCATCATGCATTCATGTGCATCCGGACTTCGGTTCAGGACCTTGATTTCTTTGACTTTAGTCTCATTGTGCGGATGTGAGGTATTTTGATGTGCTCTGGTTCTCGAGTAGAATCGATCCTATTGATGGGGATCTATGAAGGGTTGATGGCCCAGTGTCCATCGAGCTGTGATGATTGGTACCACATGCATCAGTATTGTTGCATTTGCATTTATGAGATGATCTTGAGTAATTTACGATGTTATGGCCTTTGATGCCCATTGATGAATATGATGATGTTGAATATGAAAATGACGCCATTTTATATATTGATTTCCTACATTGATTATTATGAATCGTTTTACTCACCCTGCCTGTTTGAATGTTGCCTCCACGTGGGTAACGTGCAGATGACCAGGTTTAGCCGTGGATGTCGTCGAGGACTTTTGAAGTTTTGGGTCGTTGGCCATGGTGGTTGACTTAGAGGGTCATGCTCTGATAGTGTAACATCGGGTTGGGGTCTTGAGTCAAGCCTTATTTTATTTGATTTGGTATTATGTTCGCGTATAAGGAAAACTTTGGATTATGCCTTTTTGAGCTCCGCTAAATTTTTTGATATCTTTTGAGAAAATCATGGGGTTGTTTACAGAGCTTTAACTTATATTTGATTTATTGAGAAATATACGCCCGAGGTGATTTTTATTGGATTTAATATTTTACTATGATAAATGTGAATATTTTGCCTTTTATTTTGTGAGGTAGAAAAGGGTGTTACATGAGACACTTTTAGTGAGGAGAGAAAAAGAAATATAAAGATAATGAAGAATAAGGATTGTTATTAATAAAAGGTTATTATGAAACTGAATTACAATAATATATGTATGTATTCAACTAAGTAACTTGTATACTAAGCAACTAATATAATAAACTCTAAGCTTAACTAATTTGGATTTAGGCTACAAGTTAGATTATATCACAACTAACATAATAAACTCTAACCCTAACTAACTTTTAGGTTTGGTTGCTCATCGTCCATAAAACATTTTTCGATCCAAATCCAATCACAAATTATTATCAATTAAAAAGAACTATTAACAAACATTTGTCAATTTTTCAATTTCATTTATTGAAGTTTACAATGACAAATTTTTAGCCAAAAAAACATTTCATAGATGATTTGACAATATTTATTCACACTACCTGTTTGAGATTGCACAATGGAATTTTCATTGCCTTTGTGTGAAATATATTTTAACTTTTGTAAAGTTTGATTTCTCTTTATTCTCGGGGCCTAGATGTTTCCAATTCATGTGGAAAGTGGTAAGAGCTTGTGATTGAATTTGTTTGGCGTTATCATAAAAGATTCTATTATCATCTACATATAGAATTGTATATAACGCATCTTTGTACACATTCAAAACTATGCCAACAATGTGTTAAGGCTCTTTTTTGTGAGTAATTAAGGGCTAGTCAATATCAATACATATAAAGAGTGGCCAACTTTTCATCCCTCTAACAAAAATGCAACAAGAGTTTATCTTATTTGTTGTTGTGACAATATTAACATTATCATTGTTTTTCTCTTTATTAGTGGAGAACATATGGAAATAATTATTGAAACATAGGTTCTCCTTATTTGGTATTTGATTGCTAAAATTCTGCTTTAGTTTGTTGAATATCATTGGTTATCTTCATGTCGATGAAGATGCCTCCAACATATGGAATGATTCACACTCACCCCTTTTCTCAAAGAGGAAAACAGCACTTGGTTCAATTCTGATTTATCACATGTGAGATATTTATTATTACAACCGGTTGGTAGGTCCTTCATTCTTTAAAATATTGAAAATGTAATTTGGTATTGTTTCAAATGGATTGGGATCCACTCCATTTCTTTGTTCCTTCATTTTTTCAATTATTATAGTTTTGTGTGTAAATAACACACATTTTTAAGACATGTGACATATAATTAATATTTAGTTAATTTTATATACATAAAAACTATAGTAATGGAAAAAATGAAGGGACAAAGAAATGAAGTGGATCCCATCCCATTTCAAATGGACAATGAACAATTCAAATTATGTGGTTACTGCATTATCTTAAAATCGTTTAATCTTAAAAGAAAACATTAAACATTTTAAACAGTGACCAATAAGTTTAATTTATTTTAGTGAAAATGGTGCGAAAATGGTGTGATGTTTTGAAAATATAAAATACATTTATACTGTTAACTAATGATAATTAATATTCCACCTTATCATATTTATATTTTAATTTTTTTTTAATAATATGACAGCATAAAACTATTTTACATCTTATATTTTAATAAACTCACAATTTATTATAATATTATATCTATAACATACATTTTTTATTTTTAAACCGATAACACATATAATTTATTTTATATTTTAAAGTGAGTCACTCACTTTTAAAAAGTTAGATGTAGAAAACCTAAATTACATATATAAGATATAAGATGGTACCGATGATATTTAATCATTTTTTAAAATTATATTATTTAATATTTTTTTTAAATTATAATATTTACGTATAAATCAAAATAAAGATAAATTATTGTCTATAGTAATACATAACAATGACATTGTTTTTACTATATTTTATGCTCTTACTGTTATAATAACACTATTTTAACTATATTTTACTCTTTAAATATTTTATGATTTTTAACTCTTGTATTGTTTTTTGTATTGTTTTTCCTTCACTTTGTCTCAAAATAATTTTTTTATTCTAAAATAGTTGTCGTATCTTATAAAATTATTTGTTCTAAAATAAATTTTATATTTTAATTTTCAATGCAATTATAATATTTATTTTTTAATTATACTCTTTAATTAATACTCTCAATTTATTATTTTTTTACTCTACATTTATGATAATTCAAATACATTAATAATAAACAATGACATTTATGATAATTCGAATACATCAATAATAAACAATGAAATCCTCTCTATAATTTATTATATATTTTTTTAATTTATATGAAATGATCAACTATACAATTATTTTGAGACAGAAGGATTGTGATATAAATATTGTTAACTTTTATTTAAAAAAATACAACTGAAATATAAATATTTAATACTAATATGTTCTAAAATGCTATTTCTTTAAACTACATAAGTTATCAATATTAATTCAATAAAAAGTATATCATTTTTAAAATTCTAATCTATAACATTGGTCAGCTTAATTAATAACACTAAAAAATTTGATTGTAGAAGTGCGGATTCAATATATATTAAGCTGTTTTTACGATTGAAGGAAAATTAAAGAAGTTTAAGTGGAAAGTTCTAGTAATGAAGAGCCTGAGTGCGAGAAATTTTGTGAGGTGTGAGTTCAATGACAAAAACTTGACCTCATATATAAAAATAAAAAATCAAATTTTATTTAAGATAGTCATGAAATGATTATTAATACTATTTTTAAAATTGTAATTACAATAATAATTTCATCTTCCCCTTTTTTATATAAAATATAATAACAAATTTAGATCGTTGTATTTCTTTTATAGCACGCCAAATAAGGTTGCTAGGATTGTGTAATTGTTGATGAATCTTCTGCCACTGCCCTATCTAGTTGGCCACACCACATGTAAGCATATCTTGTTCTAAGTTCATAACCGATATGCTAAGTTTGGGCAAATAATCAAATTATTCGGCCTACAAATTATAAGTGACATGCTATTTATATGTGCGGAGATTCGCGAATGAAATCAGATTAATTGTTTTACTCGGAACTTCTCATCAAAGTTATTTTCTACTGCTTGCTATTGTATTGTGTCACTATTTTCTACTGCTTGCTATTGTATAAGTGACAAGCTATTGAACATGAATTGTTCTTCCAATGGAACTAGAAAATTCTAGAACTTACTACTAATTAAAAACATGTTACCAGTTAGCATTCCTACTAAACAATTTCAAAGAATATTCATATTCCAACATCTCCCATTAAGGACCATTCTCAGCAGGTAGGTTTGTGTCACTTCTTTGCCTCACTTTACTTTTTCTCAGCATCAATTATTCTTCAAAATAGAGTAATTTTAGTAAGTACTATATGCACTTTGTTTCATTGAAACTTTTCTACAAAAGCTGCCCAAAAAATTAAAAGAGATTTCCTGTCACTTCTAAGAGATATCACCTATTTTCAGCCTTTATTCATTGATTCATTTTGCCTTATTCCAAGGCAAGTTGCTTCACAAGACACCTAATGTTCTACTCTTATTATTAGTATGGATAAAACAAAATAACCTTATCAATTATTGCATAGAACAATAAAAAAAAACATTTCACATGAATTAATTACAACACTTACAAATTCAATAATAAAAAAGAAAGACTATTATTGATCGTGAATCTTAAAGAGGTTCATAGAGGCCTAAGACATGTCCATCAATGCACCTCAGAGCTGCAACCTGATTGATCACATCAAACCTTATTTTATTATCAATGCTATGAAGAAAATATTCAATCTAAACTAGTAGCATAGCATGATAGCATGATTTGATTGAAGTATATATCTAAGAATTCTAAAAAAAATGTGTTTCTGTGTCATTATCTCGACATAACTATATTTAATTAATTAGTATTTTAAAATTATTTCTTGTGTTCGTGTTTCATAGAAATTACCTTTCCATGGATTTCATATTTGATAGGTCCATCAAGTTCAGCTCCTAATGCCATAAGTTTAGTCACAGTACTATTGATATCCGTCACTGTAAATGATAGCAGTGAAGTATATTCCTTCTGTATGTTTTGGTCACTGTCAAATTTCAATTCAATCACAAACAAACAAACTCAGAAGAACATTAATTAAACATTCAAAATTGGACTTAATAGAGCGTTAGTTCATTGCAGCAAATTATCAAACAGGTGGAGTGCATGTGTGGTGAAAAGAGAATTACATTGGTGAATGCATGAGAGCAAGCTTAAGAGGACCGGATTGAAGTTCCGCCCAACGGAGAGTGCAAACGTTGACGGTGAAATCTAAGCCTTCTGAGTAGAAACGAGCGGCTTTCGGAACGTCTTTGTGGAGTTGTAACAACCACCTGAACGATGCTGCCATCACCGAACCACCACGCTATGCGTTTCGCGAGAAACTTACACTGGTTTTGGTTTGGAACTGACTCACCACTACTTTTCAATTGGGTTGGGCGGAAGTGCGGAAGTTTGAATTTGGGACTTCCAATCTTATGAAATGGCCCAAAAGTATGCACAAGCTTTTATTTTTTTGAATTAATTAATGCACCTAAGATTTACTATCGCACCATGAAAAACAAAAAATACTTCTAGAGATTAGAAATGTATTTCCGAGTGCATTCCACACACATACAATTCGCTCATTTTTGAATCACGGTTTAATTTTACAAATAAATTTATTGTGGAAATACATTTTCGAAGAGTCTCCAAAATTGCATTTTTGAAATCTACCGAACTAGAAAAAAAATACATAACTCCTTAACTAGGTTGGCTTGGAACCTTGACACCTTAACTCCTAAAATTTCTTTAACTCTTATATTAAACCAGTTGAGCTGCCTAATATGTCATGTTAAGAAGTTCTAGATGATACTAACTTTGGTGTTTCTTTGTGTCATTAATGGTTTCGGAGAGAATGAGCTTTACCCGATGAATCGATGATGCGACGTTCGTAACACTGACATACACACATGGAGGCATGGTTGAAAAGGGAAAGCATGTATTCTAGTAAATGGCAAGAGACTTCAACATTACTCCCATACTAAAACACTATGGTTGCATGGTTGATCTCTTAGGCCATGCAGGGAAGTTAATAGAAGTTTATGGCATAATACTAGATAAGTTAATTGGGGAAGATAGATCCCATTTAGAAAGTATGCATAGAGAATAGCATACACAAGTTCGGTCATGCAAGGGTTATGTTAGCACATACACACCTAATTCATGAAAAAAAAAACTTCCAAAATCAGCATCAGCAGATGCACAATCATTATTACACAATCCAATCTCAAAATTTTATAACACCCTTATAGAAAAAACAATAAAATAATGTCGAACAAACAAGAACCATCAATCTAACACTCTAAGATCTTCAATGAGAGTGCTTATTTTTTAATATAGATTTGAGCTCTTTATATAGAAAAGTAACTATGGAATTTTCTCCATACATAGTATCTTTGATTTCGTCCAGAATTAATGCAGAATCGGTTGGATATTTGACTTGCTCCTTGAATATCTCCAACAAGATATTATTTGTTTTTAGTTAAATTCAAATTTAAATCTTCATTTAAATTCGAATTGATCTTCATCTATATGTGAAACAAATCACCTAATCATATTGTTAAATCAATAATAATAAAATATTTAACAAACCTTATACAAAACATACTCTAAAACACAACTTTCTGGTGCCTGTTGTACAAGACCTAGATGTCGAACCAACATGCTGAGCATCGCGTCCAACATGTGTCCTTTCTACAATAGGAACAACAAAGGGTCAATCCAATAGGAACAACAATCTTCCCCTTTGGAAAATTGTGGCAAAACAACTCTTCAAGATAAATAGCTCGTCTTCCATGAAAATAGGTGACAACCATTAGATGTACTGGATCTTCAGAGAATTTTAACATGTCGAATGGAGTACTCAAATTTAGTAGAGTTCGCTAACAACATGGTCAGGGATGTCCCTAGGATGCACAAGAGAGCCAACAATGTTATCAACTTTGACAACACCCCTCAAGAGGTCTTCGAGTTCATTAAGTTGGGTGAGATTCTACTGAAGAAGTTTAGGGCTCATTTGAAGAAGGTTATGGAAGCACCTCTTTAGTTTATGATTTTCTATTTTTAAAAGTTATTTTAATTTCGGATTGGTTGTGTACTGCTATCTTTATGGGATATCCTCTGTATAAACTTATTATCTTGGATTTATGAATAAAGTTATTTTCGTTTGCGCAATTTGCATGGGTTTAATCTTTGAATGTGTTCATATTTCTAATGTAAAACAATAAATTTTGGAATTCCCCTAATTAAAAGAAAAAGTAAGATTATTTAGCATATATCATACATATTTATACATTCATACATCAACATGCACAAAATAAATGAGAATCACCTTCTCTCACGTTTTCTCAGAATCATCATAACAATCTGACTTCCTCGAACTCGAGCTCACCAAAATAAGACCATAGAACAGTTAGAACAAAATCAAGCCGCTCTCAAAGGAGACATTAATGTTGTCAAAGGGAATATGAAAGAAATGAAGGATAAGATCGACCAGCTAAATCGCGCCTTCCAAAACTTGATAGCTAGGGAGACTGAGCCTAGAAACAAAAGGAATGACCCAACCCCTACCCCTCAGTCTAGGGACAATAACCCTTTATTCGGCTTTGTCGTAGATCTTGAACCTGAGGAAGATGAGGCCGCCAAACAGAAATCTAGTGCCCAACCTTCCGGAGGATCTGCTCCTCTCCTATTCTTAATGGGGTATCCTGCCCTACACAGATACCTGTTCCCCGTGAAAACTATGTAGACTGGAACCTCCAATATGAGGATGAAGAATTGAGACAGGTGATCCCTAAAAACAAGTCAACTACTGTTGTGGAGGGACAAAAGGCTGATAACAAATATAAAATACTGGAAGAGAGACTAAGGGGCTTGTCTGAGACCATATAAAGCTATTTTGAGCTTGTACATATAGTTTGAATACTCATGACTTTCAAACCCGAGGGGTTGAGCTACATACACTTATTCATTAATAAAGCCATTTAGAAACACATTTTTCACATCCATTTGATATAACTTGAAATTTTTAGTGCAAGCATAGGCTAGAATAACACGTATAGCCTCAAATCGAGCCATCGGTGCATAAGTTTCCTCATAATCGATGTCCTCCTCTTGGTTATAGCCTTGTCCCACTAGTTGGGCCTTATTGCGGGCTATCACCCCGTTTTCATCAAGTTTATTCCTAAAATCCCATCGGGTGCCAATTACTTGATGATCTTTAAGACGATGGAAAAGGTCCCAAACATCGTTTCTTTTAAATTAATTTAGTTCATCTTGCATGGCCATAAGCGAATGCTCATCAAGCAATGCATATTTACCATTTTTAGGCTCTACTTTAGACACAAACACAAAGTGATAACAAAAACTATTTATCTTAGAACGAGTAGTTGCTCCCTTTGTGATGTCTCCAAGTATGTTGTCGATCAGATGATCCTTTGATGTCTTCCAAGTTAAAGGTACACCTTCCACTGCAACAGGACTTTCTTCATTTTTCTCTTCATCATTTCCATCTTCTTTATTCTCATCATCCACCGCTTTAGGTTGATCAATCCCTTCTTCGGTTCCATTGAGAATATCTTGAGAAGACACACCTACATCATGAAAAACATCACCTTTCCTACAATATTTCGGATGAAACTCATCAAAGGTAACATGTACGGAATCCTCAATTATAAGCAATCTCTTATTATAAACCCTATACGCCTTACTATATTGTGAGTATCCCACATCTTTGGCACAAAGTCAATGAAAATAGATATGCCACCCGTCATATGCCTTGAACACCCACTATCAAGATACCACATCTTTTCGATAGATTCAAGACATTCAACTTGAAATTTTAAATAAAGACAATAGGTACCAAATTTCCATTGGGTCCTTGAATGTGAGTGAGATCAAAGTTGCTCTTAGGCAACCAGTGGACATCTCCTTTAGAAATAAATGACTTTCTAAATTTGCACTTTTCAATGGTGTGTCCCTTTTTGCAACAATAATGACAAGATAGGTATTTATGAGACATGTCCTTGCTATTAGAATCCATATGCATATGTCTATGTTTCTTTTTAGAATGATTCAAAGGCTTTTCAACATTAGAAGGATCAATAGCAAACACAACCTTTAGTTGCAAGGCATCATCTAATTTGACTTGAAGAGATTTGACTTCCTCTTGTCTATTATGACAATACTCACAACCAAACCTAGGAGGTATTATATCCTTTTTCTTGTCACTTTGAACTTTTGTCATAGATTTCTTAATAGTCTCAAACTTCCTTTCGGATTCTAACACTTTAGCTTTCAAATTCAAAATCACTTTTTCATCTAAAGCTAACTTGTTAAAGACTTTTAAGGCTACTCTGCGTAGATTTCCAAAGGCCTTTTGTAATTGAAAATAGGATAAATCATTAGTACATTCAAGTTTATAGGAACTTACATTCTTCTTTTTCTTCCCTTTAGTCATGTGACAAATTCGAGCCGATTCCAACACTTTAAGTGGTGCTTTCGTCACTAGAGGAATCACTAGCGCTTTCCCAAGCGGCATGGGCTTTTCTAGACTTTCTAAAAGACTTGTGATGGCTTCCTTCTTTATCCTTTATTCTCATGGGACATTTCAGTCTATAATGATCGATTTAACCATAATGATAATAATACCTTCTAAGCTTGATTTTTCTATCTTCATCATCCTTGGAGGAACTTGTCAACCTTCTAAATTTGACTATGTTCTTGTTAGAATTTTCAACATCGTTTTTCCTTATATACCATTGGTATCTCCTTATGAACAGCCCCACATCTTCCTCACAAGAGTTCTAGTCATCATCACTCTCGCTACTACAATGCTCACAATATGAAGTCCTTGAGCTATAAATCTTTAGAGCTATAGACTTCTTTCCTTCATCTTTTCCTTTCCCTTTCTCACTCTTCGATCGCTTTTCGTATTTCTTCTCGTAATTTTCCAAGCAAGTATGCTCTTGTTCATGCTCTTCCAACTTACCAAACAAAATCCTAAGATAAAGCGGCTTAAGATCATTTGCTTCTTTAATAGTGGTGACCTTTGGTTGTCATTCCCTACTTAAACACCTCAAAACTTTGTTAGCAGCAAGTTCGTTAGAAACAGGATTACCTAGTGCATTTAATCGATTTATAAGACGAGTGAACAATTTTCGCATATCCGCAATGGTTTCACCATGCTCAATACGGAGCAGTTCAAGCTCTTGATTCAATGTGTTGATCCTAGTTTGTTTGACATCATTAGTACCCTCATGGAAAATCTCTAATGCATTCCACATAGCTTTGACGGTCTCATAATGAGAAACGTGATAAAATTCATCAATTCTCAAGGCGGAAGTGAGAATGTTTTTCGCTTTCCAATCACGTGACCACAATTTCCTATCATTATCATCTCATCGTACTTCCAGTTTAGGTATTGTGACACCATCTTCATTGGTCATAGTTATTTCATTTGGACCATTTTAGATAGCATTCTAAATAACTTTGTCAGCAGAGTTGATATGAATACGCATAAGTGGTTTCCAATAGTCATAATTTTCGCAGGTGAAAATTGATGCTCTATTGTACGCACTCTTAGGTTCGGTAGCCATTATTCGAAGAAATATATCTCAAGCACAAAATGCAATGCTAATCGTAACCCGTATATCCAATGAATTAAAACACAATCAAAATACGCACAAACATATTATCGAGCACTTAATGTGCAATCGATAACAATTGAAAATATAGTTTATTTTGTTGATGTTAAAAACTTATCACAATTAATGTGATTGTGATTATATCAAGAACAACACCTTTAAAAGATAGTACAAAATAATTTCCAATCGAATTGATCAAACAATGACGAACTCGATAAATTGCAAAATCAACAATAAAAGAGATAAATAGACGAAGAGAGAGAGAGAGAGAGAGAGAGAGAGAGAGAGAGAGAGAGAGAGAGAGAGAGAGAGAGAGAGAGAGAGAGAGAGAGAGAGAGAGAGAGAGAGAGAGAGAGAGAGAGAGAGAGAGAGATTTGTTTAGGCAGTTTCTCAATCGGCCTCGTTATGGGTACGTCTGCCCTAAATTCAAAATGAATTGAGATAGTACTATTAACTTTTTCTTTGCAAAATCGTTTATACAAGAGATGAAGAATGCAAAACTCAAAAACTCTATTGTTTTGTGTTGATTCATCCACCTTCAAATCCTTGATCAAAGCTTGATCATGTGACCAACAATGCGGCTGCAATCCTCCGATTATCTCGAGCACGCAAATTGTTGAAACCCAAGATTCTTGAACACAAATCACTGTCTCGCATTACTCCCTTGCAAGGAAACCATCTTGTCCCGAGGCCTTCACTCGGTTAAATCTGTGTTGACGTGATCTTGTCCAAAACCTTCAAATCAACCCGATCTTGAAAGAAAACCCCACCTTGGTTTTCTTATTTGAAACACACAAAGCCCTCAACCCAATATTCTTGATTTAAATGCTTCCTAATGTCAAGATGCATATCTAAAATGAGAGGATACTATCCAATATACATAACGCTATACTTTCCTATTTTTGACATTCAAAATATACAAACACTCACAGAGTATCTTTATATTCTCACTCTTCTAAAGCAGCTTTTTCTGTCGATGCTTTAGAGACACCATCCAAGTGACTCCATAATTTCTTTCCTTTGACATGCATTCTAAACAAATTCTCAAACATGATAATTCTTTTCGGTAAAACAAACACAAATATGATTTCTTTCTTTCCAGAATTCATAGAAGCAATATTGTCAATAACAAAAATGACTTGAGAAGAAAAGAAAACAAAGGAAATATTGCACGTAACAACAAATGAATTTTTTTACAATAATTTTTTATCAACGTGCACACTTTTTTATAATACTAATGAAAAAATGTGTGAGCACTAACAAGACCGAACACTAGAACACGACCAGACCGAACACCGATACTAGAACACGACCAGACCGAACACGGTTTGCAAATAAGGAGGAACAGCAAAATCGTAACTTGTGAGCACTACCAAGAACGGGTCCAACATACGGCTTGTAAGCACCAGAGATCACAATCGTGAGCCTGAAAGAGATTATCAAGAACTGATTTCTGTCAAGATATCATGTCAAAAAAATTCTTAACTTGATACTTTTCTTATTGTTATTTCTTGTATATATAGAGATTACAGAACTATACTAATAATTACACTAAATAATTATATTTAACAATAACAAATCAATATTTGATTTATTTTCCTTATTCTAAAAACAAACTAATAAATATAATTAAGAGGAAAAATCCGACTTCGTATTCACAATTTCATAAATAAATTCGTATCCAAAATTGTATATTTGTTTGTTTTTACTTCTCATTAATCGGTTCAATTCTTTCAGCTACATAACATGACAAGATCTACTATACAGAATAAACTCCGAACAAGAAATATGTTACAGACTAAGATACACAATTAAAATTATTAGCAAAGCAAAAATTCCACAGGAAAGGAAGAGATACAAAAGAGGAGAATGCAGAACCGTACTCAATACTTATAGTATGTTAGTAACCACCATCAACAAGATTCAACTTCTGGTCAACTTATTGCTGAGCTCTCTGAATTCTTACACCTCTAAAAGGACCCTTTGAGGGCCTTCACACGCGATCGCCGCCCCTTGGATCTTGCTTCAAGAAGCTTGGCTTTCAAAGTATTATCCTTTGATCCTGAATGCACTTTGGAAACCTCGGATATATCGAGACTTGCCATCCACTGCCTCACAGGGCTTGTCTGATTCCTCCATCCAGCATTGCTGCAGGATGCCTCACCATAACTATTATGTTCAGCATGTATGTCAATGTTACCACCCTCTGATGTCAAAAGTTGACCTCTTATGAGATTATCAATAATGTGATTTTTACTGGTGGTGTGCAATTCACTTGAGTAGTTTTTTCTTTCAAAAGCGCCATTTTCACTAATTTCAAAGTGTTCAGGCTCTTCTGATATTCTAGCTCCTTCAACTAGCCTCGTATCTGTGGTCACCCCCTCCTGTGCATCAAATGACTGGGACTTCTTATTCGAATTAGATGACAAGGCCCAAGCCATTTGCAAGCTAGACGGGATAAGATTTTTAAACCCTTCTCGCAGTATTGGTTTTTTCTTCTTGACATTGGATTTCAATGTCTCATCGAGATTTTTATCCACAATCTCTTCTTCGGGTAGTTTAGCTCCGATGTTGCTTGGCTTGTTCAACTCAAAACAATGTGAATCACTGCCTACAGAATCATCATCGTCATCATCACCCACAGCTTGTGGTGCACTAACGGTATCATTCAGTGGTACAGACTCCAGAGAATTTCGACGATCCCTTATCACTAGATTTTCCATACTCCTACTATTTTGTTTAGCTTTGATAAAAGTCTCTATTTCAAGGCTTAGTTTATCGACAATGGAATTCTTATCCATAAAACCATTCTGAGCTGCTTCCAGTTGCATTTGCATGCGTTCATCCAGCCAAGATTCAGATATGTGGAGTACTAAACGATCGTGATCAGCTCTCTGAACCCAATCCTTCTCAGACTTTTGTTTCAATGCATGCACCTCCTGCTCATATTCATTTATTCCCCTAGCAAATTCATCACAGAGGTCCTCTAATAATTTCCTTCTTGTTCTCTCTTGCTTCAAATCTTCTAAAGCACAAGTGAGAGAAGACTTCATCTCAGAAAGCTCCCGAGCTAGTTTCCTGTGTATGCTCTCTGACCGCTTTCTTAATTTCCTCTCGTCCTCGAGTTCATCCCTCACAGATTGAACAGCAGCATGGAGCCGGTCTTGTTCTTTACTCTTCCTTACCAATTTATCCTCTGCAATTTGCTTCATCAGGTCATCAATCTCATGTCGATCCCCCTGTCGGTCTCGTAGCAACTCTTTGACCCTGATACGTGTGTGATCTAGCTCTGTTTTTAATGCTTTTATCAATGATACGTTAGAACCATGTTGTTCTTCCAAACTCCATATTCTGTTTAACACTTTTAACAGTTCTGTAGATGTTTTGAGAGTATAATGTGGCTCCCCAATCCTTCCCTTGAAGTCCAAAGAACTAATAGGAGTGGCTGCAGGATTATATGGTGTCATCTGCAACCCAAGAAAAGGAAAACAATAGATGCAATGAAGTATTGCATATTGAACCAGATTATGCACAGTAAATTTACAAGTGCCAATGACTACAACTTTGAAATTTTGACATCAAAAAATTTGGGGACATAAAAAATATTCAATTTTTAGATCTGAAATGGTATTTTGGCACCAAACAAAACTGTAATACAGCTGTTACTGGTTTGTTTTGTTTTGAGTGCCAGTATCTTGAAGAGAAAAATATTATAACCAGATTTCTCAATATGACGGTGATTGCTTAGTAGTCCTAATAGTCTTATTTCTTCCAAGGTAATGTACCATGTTAAATCATGATTCAAAATGCAATCAGTCTTTACTTTCCAATTGTGATTGCCTTGCACCCATGTAAAACATAAGATGCCAAAATGGCACATCCCTCCAAAAGAAAAATTGTGTTTACTTACAAATGGAAATTGTCATGGTTCTTCTTATACTTTTTGTTCTAAAAGTGTTGGTCTGAAAAAAAAAAAGAAGGCGTGAGCAGGGGTTGGGGAAAGGGTTGTTGATGCTTACCTCCATGGAACTACCATAACTTGCAGGAGATAGAGGTTGCAGTGCATGGTTGTTTCTCTCAATTGCCCGCTGATGTTGCATCAGCGATGCTGTAACATGCCTCCTCAAACTGCTTGCACTAGCTGGCTGATGAAAGAGCACTACAATATCAGTTTACTCGAACTCTAGGTAAGTCTCTATCAAAACGGTTAAAATCAGCTAGAAATCACAAAAACAACATGAGACAAATACAATATATGCAGACATAGAGCCACCGCATATTTTATAAATTATATGATCTGACACTGTTACAAATTACAATGCAGCACTTAGAGTGATTACAATTTAATCTGAAACACAAATCCTAAATTAAGAGACAGCTAAATATGAAAGTAAGGAATCTAAAATATATCACTGTTTATCTAATTATAGCGACATTCAAATTTCTAAACCGGTATACAAGTTTATTAAATATAAGTGAGAAAAATACAAAATACCATTACAAATATTCAAGATGTCCGACAAAGATACCATATATGACACAATGCATGCTTCATAGAATGCCAACGAAAACTGTTGCGCCATTACTTGCATAAGACTAGTAACCAAACCACGGTAAATGATTTCACTAACCATCAAAATATGTCTCGGTAGTACTTATAGACGAAATACAAATCAAAATTTTTATTTACAACTACCAATGTAAGTAACTATTATTTGATATACAAGAAAAGCAGGAAAATGTACAAAAAATGGAAGAAAATAGCAAATTACGGCATTGCAATGAATGAAATGGATATTTGCACAACAGAGAACTTAATCAAATCTAGTTTACAATTTATATGAAAAATATAATAGTAATGTTATTAATCCAGAGAAAGAAGTGTAACACTGAAGAATGATGGTAGTGATAACATTTAGATCACCCTAACGGGCCATTCTATCCTTCGGCATTATATATGAAATCCAAACTAGATTGAGTAACTTTTCCTTTGAAACTATAATGAATTGTTGATGCAGAAGCAACATCTCATGAATTATAAAGTACTAGTAACATCGAATACAAGACAACATAGATATTCAAACTGATAAAATCATAATTCCATGACCTAAGGCTTTGTTTGTTAGTTTAAAACAAAATAAATCTCTCTAACCTATCAAGTATCATGAACACAATGCTTCTATTAATAACACCAAAAAATTATCAAAATCGAGGCACCGGATCATGATACTAAAGCATAAACCTAAATGAATAGTAACGTTATCAAAGTTCAAAAGAGAAAGTCGAAGGTGGAACCTGATCAGGGGAACTTGGAGAAGCATCGATTAAGAAGTTAGAGATATCAGGAGCCTTGTCCTTATGAAAAGTGTAATGGCCGCGGCGGCGAAGTCTAGAATCGGCAGCACCGCCGTTATTGACAGGACGATGCATTGGAAAGAGTGGAGAATAATGGTCGAATTCCCAGAGAGCCGCCGCGAGCTTCCTAACAGAGACGGTGGTGGCGGTGGTGTTGGTGAGTAGTGATTGGTGGTCCCGAGTAACGGAACTGCTACAGTGTTTGTTATTATTAGGCAAAAGCCAAAGTGAAGAAGAAGAAGAGGGTAATGGAGTAGAAGGGCCTTTACTTTTTCTTAACAATACCTCTCTCCTTAACTTTATTCCCAATTTTTCCTTCTTTTGCGCTACCTTTTCCCCACTTTTCATCTTTTTCTCTTTTATTTATGGCTGTTTTGTGTTTTCATTGCTTCTCTCTCGTGAACTCGTTTTACTCTTTATGTTTTCTTTTAATGCTTTCTTGCCCTTTTTTGTTGCCTGCTCAATGACACGTGGGTTTTTGCAATAGTGATAACATTATTATATTTTCACATGAACTTGTTAGTAATGTTGATAATTGCATTTCTTCAACAAAAAAAATGGTTGATAATTGCATTATATTTTAACATATAAGTTAAATCAAAACAAAATAAAATTCATTCTAATATGAGGGTTAATTTTATTGAAAGATAACAATTGACAAAAAGAAATTGTTTTAAACCGGATTCAATTGATACAATAGAACCACACTAAGTACGGTGAAAATACAATTGTTAATCAAGATTAATTACAACAATTACAATTCTAAATTATAAAGTTAGTCTCTTTCATTGATTGTTTTTTTAATCTTGATGATTTATTTTACCCGATATCGTCTGGAGCTCTTTACTTATCTATACCAATTATTCTCTTAAGTTTTTGGGTATTTCCTTCTATGAAATGTCATGAAGGAATTTTTCTCTTTCTTAATTCTCATTTTCCTTTTATAAAATATCTTACAAAGAAATGTACATATAAGCGAGGATCCTAATAAAAAAACCTAGGCACAAGCTTACTTCTTGATTCTCAATGCTTTCGTTGCAAATAAGTGAGGTCAATTAATTCAGACGTAGTGCCTTTCTCCTTTAATCGTGTTGTAAAGAGAGAAATTTTTTTGTTAAGCTGATGCATGTTTTATTTATTTCTTAGGTCAATAAAGTCTTGTCTTTTGCATCATGGAGAAGTTTGATAGTGCCATCAATGAGGTGTATTGGCAGACCTTGTCACTATTGTCAACTTGCTTATTTCAACTTGAGACTCGAGGTTGAATCCAATTGATGTAGGCCTCACATCATTGGTTTCACCTTTGCCCCTGGTTAGTATTGATGTTGTAGACATTACGTTAAAAGTTAAGATTCAAGGGTCGGTTTCTTAAGGTCTCTTAAAAGATGTGGATGGAGGTGACATTTGCACGCTTTGTCTAACTTTTGAGATATAAATCTTTCTAGGGTAGAACTTACTCCACTTATTTAAGTATTTTGTTTCACTACTAGATAGTATGTCTCTACGACTACCATACTTTTACATCATTAATAGAGTTTTCTTCTTGATTTACAACATTATTCCACATTGTAAGATATTATTCGTTAAATATTTTTCATGGATGTGTCTATCGAACTCTTAAAATTTCATTATGACTAGTCAATACCTGGTTCTCCTATTCGCAATCTTTGATAATCACCAAAGGGGTCCTCTAAGTTTAGTGACCACTTCTCAAATTTTGGATCCTTAACCCTTATCGGCAGGATAGTATAGTTGCCCAAAGTAGTTCAACCTTAGTAACCTTTTGAATTTGACTAGGTTGTTATACGCCATAGCCATATATTACTTAAAAATTCAGATTCTAGTTAAGACTAAGATTGTATAGTGCATACAACTAGACTAACGATCGAGATTATTCTTGTCGCAAATCAAATGATTATTATAATCTCATAGTTTTACTAATCCGACAAACAAATTATTGCTAAGTTTCTTTGTCCTTGTGCAAATATAATTTTATTAGGCCCTTAAGAGAGGATAATACATGAAAAATAAGAAAGGTTATGCGCAATGGCGAGGGGAAAACTACTCTACAAATTTAGGGGCTGCCTGAATAAGCCACATTGTCGTTCGATAGGGGCCGTGATGCCTCCCAATTGGGCTCCCGTTGTTCACTCATCTAGTAAATGTGAATGATGATGATGATGATGTGGGTCCATAACAACTAACTGATAAAGGGTCGTCAGAGGGAGAAAATCTATTTCCCCATAATCCAAGAAGATCAAGTCCTCCCATGACCACATTCATTGGCCATGAAGTTAGGGTAAACCACTATCTAGATCTCTAGCCCTGGCCTAAGAAGCCTCTATAAATACTTCATTCTTAGAATGAGTAAATACAGATCCTAATTCATGTGTTTATACTTAAGCATCGAACACATACATAAAGTCTTTCACCTCATATGATTAGTTCCTCTAAACCACTATAAACACCACCATACTGAGTTTTTCACCATCGTGAGCAATCTTTAACCACCATAGTGCGTAATATACCAACTAAGACCTCTGAGTACCCTTGTCCTAGCAGGGGTAACATGCACACTTATATTTTTTGACCAATATAGTCTAGATCAATTTTCTCAATTTCATAGACGGGAGAAAACATTAAGTTCAACTAGAACTATATAATAAAAATCATAAATTTATTACAAAAGCAATCATGGAGAATTACATCGAATCACATGTTTATGGTAGAATGATCTAAATGAAGTATAATCTAATGGGACTAGTCACTCATGCTTAAGGAATTCACGATTTTTACAATTGAAAAGAAAATATAAGGACTCATCATGATGAAGAACAAGCTCCTAATGATAGTCTTTATTTTATCCTCCCTTTAGCTTAGAAATGCATCTTAGATTATCTAAAATCAGATCACTAATGATTAAACATATTTTTCTATTTATGTAAAAGTTTGAATTCGTGCAATCACGTCGCACCATGCCCTAGTCACTTCGAGATTGGTCAATTAATTGCATGTCTAGGCATAGAGTTGATATTATGTCATTGTGATTTAGGTGTGCTAATTTGATCTTTTGTTGTTGAATCACAATGTTTTGAGATATAGGTGTGTCACGATTTACATGCCTTTTGTAGTTTTTTTTTGTTTTTCTTTGTTATTTGTGCTTCATCCCACTCTTTGCTTCTTCACACTAATTTTTATTGTAAAATACTATAAAATCTATATATAATTAGGATGATTCCCACATAGTTTGATATTTTTCACGAAAATTCATATATTTTATAAACCTACAAAATGAAAAGACATTGATAGTGAAATACTCAAAAATATAGTAAATTTAGGTACTAAAAACATACACTACGCCAGAATTGATTTTTAGCAGCGCACAAAAGACAGCGCTTTTAAAAAAAGCGCTGCTAAATAGTCAGTAAAAAAAAAAGAAAAAAATTACCTACCAAAGACAGCGCTTTTTTAAAAAGCGCTGCTAAAAGGGGACCCTTAGAAAGCGCTTTTTAAAAGCGCTGCTAAAAGGGGACCCTACGAGAGCGTTTTTTTTATAAAGCGCTGCTATATGTCATTGCTAATGCACCCTATGAAAGCGCTTTTAAAAGCGCTGCTAAAGGCCTTTAAAAAGCGCTGCTAAAGGTATTAGTATAATAATTTTTATATACCCTCCAGAATTGTAAACGAAACAGAACACGCGTTTTTTCGTTTTCTTCTTCGTTTCTTCATTTCTCCATTGCCCTATCTTCCATTTTCGCCCTCCGTTGAAGCTTCCGTCGCCGTCCGTTTGCGCCGCCGTCTTCCATTTGTTTTCGCCGCCGTTCGCCGTTCCCTTTCGCCGCCGTTCACCGTTCGTTCTCCTCCACCGTTACGGTAAATCCGCGACTGTTACGACATTTTTATGGATTATTGTCTTAGTATTGTATTTTTCTGGATTAGATGATGTTAGTGCTACTTCTTTCTGAGTTATTGACTTGTTTTTGTTGATACCATTGATGAGCATTACTCTTTTGATATTGGCTTGAGTTTTGTATGCAAGGTGTTTGTTGAAATGCCACAATGAATTTTGAGCATTATAAATTAGTTTAGAATAATTTAGTCCATTACCAAAATTTTTGAGAGTATGCTTTAATAATTTAGAATAGTTTAAAATCATATTAATGCAATAGTTTAGAATAGTTTAGAATAATTTAGTCCATTTCCACCATTTTTGAGAGTATGATTTAATAGTTTAGAATATTTTAAAATCGTATTAATGAAATAGTTTAGAATAATTTAGTCAATTTCCACCATTTATGAGAGTATGCTTTAATTTAGTCCATGTCATTTTGAGCATTATAAAATAGTTTAGAATAGTTTAAAATCATATTAATGAAAGTATGCTTTAATAGTAGAATAGTTTATTATAGTATATCTACTTTTTTTAATATGATTTGTTTTGTTGGATTATCTAGTTTTTTTGTTTTGGTTAATTATTAATATGATTTTAATAAAATGTATATATTGTCTGTTATAGGGGTTACCTGAGAAGAGCAAGGTTGTGATTGTTTCCAAGCATCCTACTGTACAACTTTCTTAGAAGCAGTGATTTCTTTACAGGTATTCTCTGTTTTTGCCTAACTTTCATAGTATGGATAAAAATTGGATGTCTGTTAATCGATTGTCAAAAGAGTACGAGAATGGGGTATCGAACTTCATTAAGTTTGCTGTTGAACACGCCAAAGACCCCAGTAGGATCACATGTCCTTGCTTAGGTTGCTGTTATGGACGTCGAATTGACGCGGTTCAGTTGGAATCTCATTTAATGAGACATGGAATTGATCGAAGTTACACATGTTGGACATTACACGGTGAGATAAGTAACGAGAATGTTGAACCCCAGAACAATACGACCTCTACTTCAAAGGACAATGGTAGGGATACATACGATTGTGATCGAGTCGAAGATATTGCAGAAGCACTTGAAGAAGATCTTAAAGATTGTCCAAAGATGTTTGAGAGGTTGGTAAGCGATGCAGAGAAGCCGTTGTATAAAGGTTGCACTACTTTCACAAGATTGTCTGCGGTATTAAAGTTGTACAACTTAAAGGCGGGTAATGGATGGTCGGATAAAAGTTTCACAGAGTTGTTAGCCCTACTTCAAGAGATGCTTCCGGAGGATAATGTTCTTCCCAATCGAACCTATGAAGCTAAAAAAATGTTATGCTCTATTGGTATGAGCTATGATAAGATACATGCTTGTCCAAATGATTGCATTTTGTTTCGAAATGAGTATGCATCATTAAACGAGTGTCCTAAATGCGGTGTATCTCGGTATAAGAAGAAGTTGTCACCAGCAAAAGTCTTAT